TGCAGTTAGTAATAAACCATTAAATGTTCTGTAGCATGTGGGTACACGTAGCTCTGCAGCAGCGAGCTTGTCGAGTTAGACGTCTATGCCGTGCTTCTTGAGGAGCGCTTTCAGGTTGTCGTTCTCTTGTGCCTGCAAACACAGACAAGAATCACCTTGTTACTCGTGTCACATACTTAAACCTTCTAAGTAACAATACGAAGACTTTCGAAGTGTTTCATACAACAAGGAGTGAAGCCTAAATTGCTAAATAACACACACCTTTCTGTATTACTGCTGTGAAATTTACAAAACAGACAAAAAGTAAAATAATTAAGTTATAATAAATATATCTGATATTCGCCGTGGCACAGAATAACAGTCACCACTCCCTCAACAAGAAAGGAAATAACAGACAACAGCACTGGTTTTGTTTATAGATGCATTTGAATATATACTGTGTATATAATTTATATATTTTTTACTTAATTTTAATTTTATTGAGTGTCTGTATCGTCTTAGCTGTTTTACTGCTACAATGAGGATTCTGATTCTGACCTAATGTGCATAGAGATCTTATCAGTAACTGTATTCATCACTCAGTCAGCAAAATGACAGTTTTGCAGCTCTGCCTTCTACTGCCTGAAATCCAAAGCAGGACTGAGCGTGTTGTGAACGATCTGCCATCATTACTGCAGTTTTTGTGGAACTCCAGGCCTAAAGATTTCCCCCACTGGGACTGTCCATTTGGGAACTTGGTGTTTTAATTTGTTTTAAGAGGCAAGCTAACTAAGGATAATGTTATCCTACTGTAACTGTGAGCTCATTAACATTAAAAAACAGAATCAAAGAGTGACTAAAACTAAACAAAGCTTTAAAAAAAAAGGTCAACTTTACAGAGTTTGCTTTCGTTATGAGTTTGGCTCATATTGGTTCACTTTAGCTCCCTAATAATGTTACTAAACGAGTCACCTCTCTGTCCTCACCAGGAGTGAATCTAAAGTATGAAGCTTTTCTGACTTTGCCACACGTCTGGAAAACTCTCGAAGTTGAATCCTGAAGCAGTGAATGAGGCGACATCTCTACTAAGAACCTGAGTGACCTCGTCCTCAAGGTCAAGGTCAGATTTTGTGAACACAAGAACGAGGCTAAGTAGCACGAGGGCTCTCGAGGGCACTAAAACTCTCAGACAAGCTTGTAGCCCAGTGACATTAACCAATCAAGGTCAGAGGTCAGTTTTTCTGAATTTATACCATAGGTGCATCTACCAGGAGGCTGAGGAATGACACCAGTATTTTTATGGTCAGGAGGTGTGTCGCTGGGACCTCGTTCTCTAGATAACGAGGTCCCAGAAAAGAAACTGACTTTTCGGTAACCAGGCAGTAATCTGTAATCTCTGTGCAGGGGTGAAAGATTCCTGACACACTAAGCATCTCACAAGACATAAGTAGTCCAAGCCTGCCATTAGCAGCTGTAATCTTCATGAATATTTGACATCACCAGTTTATCACTGCGCTCCTGTAGCTCAGTGACTCTTTGAACCAGGTGGTCATAGCTCTCCTTCAGCTTGTGAATCTTCTGGTCTGCACGGGTCTTCACTGACACTAGGATCCCTACAACAAAATAAAAAATGGTCAACATTTTTAAACTTTGCCCTGCTAATCATGACATTTGGAACTTAACATCAGTCATTTTGATCTCATATAAAACCAAAAAACAAAACCTGCAAATGTGAATGTAAATGAAGACGATCATAAAAGAGAGGAGGCAAGAGGAACTCAGAGACATGTTGTTGCATCATTGATGAGCTGATTAAATAATCAGAGCCGTGACCGTTGGTTTATCATTTCATCCATTTCCTGTGAACACTACAGAGTGGCACTGACCGTTGATAATCCTGGCTACCCTCCAGAGTCGGAGCAGGATCAGAAGACCTATCCCATCAAAGGCGTCCTCGTGGAAGATGAAGAC